CTTTGCATTGCACCAGTGTATAAGAAGTGCGATATAAATAAAGTCTGATTGGATTTTGTCTGTATTTGTACTATTTGAGTATCAGTTGGCTTCAGAGTATTTCTGGGCTCCACCTGCCAGCGTTTATGGTGAGACAGATGGGAATGTAACAGTCGCACTTCTACTGTTTAGACTGTGTTGGTGTTGATTAATGAAGACGACTCAAGGAGAAACTGTAGCCCACTTTGTCAATTGGGCGATAACTTGATGTGTTAACCCACAGCTAAAAAAAACCTAAACACAGCTTTGATGATCCATCAGTCATTTAATTCTTCAGCCAAAAATAGTGTAAAAATACCAAACATCTACAATGAAAAAAGAAAATGCTGGTTTTAATTGTCATACATCACTGCAAAGTTTAGTTCTTTGGTTTTTGGACAAAAACAACTACATCGTGATCTGCCATTGTCATTATGAGTGTTTGCATTTTAAAGAGTGAATCAGTGAAACAAATACCTGGCAGAGTAACGAATGATCATGATTATACGCAGTTGGTGATATGATGGGGTGACAGCAATATGACCAAAATCTAGCCCTCTGTAACCTTCCATCTCCTCTGTGTATGTTGGCTGGTGGTAAAGGAGCAGAGTGATGCTCACCTCCTGCTAGTACATATGTACCAACAGTCAATGTATCTATTTTTGTTTGTGTGAAGTTGCTTTCTTTGCTCATGAAAAGTTTACATTTGGGGAAACCTTTGAACTGTACGAGATAGAAAGCTTATTTCTCTGGCTTTTGACGTATCTTTGCTGGACAAATCAATGATAGGATGTTTGGTGGAAGTCATTGTCCTCAGGAGGGGAAAGACTGAAGCTGAGAAGTAGTGATTACAGACGCGGTAGGAGCCGTTCACGGGACTTGTTTTTGTCTGCATGCAGATGGCACACTGTCTGTAACAAGATCCCACGGGCTGCGCTATTCAAAAGGGACAGATGTGTGTGTGTGTATGTGTGTGTGTGTGTGTGTGTGCGTGTGTGGCAGTGACAATGCGAGTCACAGCTGTGGGAGTGAGCAGTCAGTGACAGTTAGACAGACCCAGATATGAGAGACTCCAGATCCACCACATTGTAGACCAAATCACTAAACAGATGAAGAGCATTGACGAGTGATCAGACATGTGGTTTGGTTGTGAACGCTGCTCCTGAACACTCTGATCATCTTTCTAGATTTCTAACTGAGTGTCATTTTATTTCTGCTGACAACAAATGTGGAAAAGCCACATTGCAAGATTGTGTGAAAGAAGTTTCCCAAATCAACTATAAAGGGACTCCATTATCAAGTGTGTTTGAGCTCATAAAGTCCAGTATTTTTAGATCTACATCTTTTTCTGTTCTTCAAGCTCTGTGCTTCATTTTTAAATGTGAAATTAAACAGATGCTACATTAAAGTGCCAGCGTAGGTTTAAGTCAGTATAAAAAGAACTGTGTGTCATACATAACCTCCTTAAACACGCAGTGCTCAGAGTGTATGGATTCAGAATGAACTGGATATTTATTAGTATCTTTAAACCACATACATCAGCAGGTGTTTTGTGTCTTCTCTGTGATGCTCTTCCACAGCTTCACCTTCAGCTCCTGCTTTGCTCGTCTGGTCTTCAGCAAGAAGAAC